TTGATGCGCTGCGCTCCAGATTGTGGGGTGATTTTTTGGGGCGCAGATAATTTGACTCGCAACCAGAAGAAGGGCCGTCGGACGAAGAAAGGAGCGAGAGTGACGCGCGAGGACTACAGCAAGCGCGGCAGAACCCCGCAGGGGGCATTCATCAATGAGCCGAAGCGCCTGCAGCGACCGCTGACGCGCGCGTCCTGCGAGGAGAAGTTCGCCTTCAGGGGCGCATCAGCGACGATCGAGCGAGTGGGCATTTCACAAGGCAGAGTAAGGTCGCATGCGCAGATTGCAATGCCGATAGGCTCACGGCGCGCAGTTGGCAAGCCTGCCAGTGCAGTGGCACATGCCAAAAGAAACTGCCGAAGTCGGCCTTCGCCGTGGACGGTAGCAACGTCGCGCGTGACGCACATAAGGGCATCCTCAAATCCAAGCCATGCAACTGGTATTCCTTTCGGCGCCAATGTCATCGCGAAAAGCGGCCCGAGGAGGCGCCCGCGGTGGAGTGTAGCGGTGTTCCGTGGAGGGTTTCGCGGGGTGTTTAGTGGAGGGTTTCGTGAGGTGTTTTGTTGGGTATCCCGTGTCGTGTATCGTGGGGTATTTCGTGGGGCGCTTCGTGTAGTGTTGGCTGCTGTGTCTTGTGTTGTGTTACGTTTTGTAATTCGTGAGGTGTTTCGCGCGGTGCTGGTGTTCCGCGTAGCGTGGACCCTTGGTGCCGGGATTGTGGGCCAGAGCAACGCGCCTCAATTGGCACCACTTGAGGCACACCTGCCAAAACCGGGAGGGAAGAGGTTCGGATAATGAGAACAAGGGGGGAACGGGGAGGAGGGCGAGGAGGAGGAGGCCGATGGGTAGGATATGGGGGCGAAAACGGCGACGACGGCGACGACGGGGATAGAGGGTTCATGGATGTTGATCGGGAGCTCGTGGTTGGCCTTCCGGATGCCTGGAGCCAGGTTCGAGGCCTCGTGGTTGCCGTTTTGGAGCCTCTTTTCGGCTTTTTGGGGGCTTCCTGGGGCTTCTTTTAGACTTCTGACTTCTGGGGGCCTCCTGGAGCCTTTTGGGGTCTTCTTGGGTGTTCCTGGCGACTTCTTGCGGCAGAGCACTGGAGCTTTCGGTTCGCGGTTCCTCTCTAGGCTCTCTCTGGGGCCCGTATTGGGATTTTCTTGGGCCGTCTCGGGCGCCTCTTGGGCCGTTTTGGGGGCCTCTTGGGCCGTTTTGGAGCTCCACGGGCGGTTTGGGGGGGCTTTGGAGTCGTTATGGAACGTCGGACAGCCCAAAAGGCAAACTTGCTAAACATGCACGTTTTACTCATGGAATGGGGCCACTTTTGCGTCGGGGGACCCTCTTGGAACGCATGTTCGGGGCCTCTTGGAATGTCTTGGGAGCTCCGGAGGCCGTCAGGAGACCATCGTCGGCGTTTTGGAGCGGTGTTTCGACCACTCGTGACCCTCTTGGACCGTCTGGGGGTCGTTTTTGTGCCCTCTTGGGCCGTTTTGCTCCTCCCCCCCGCCCCTGACGCGCATTGTCAGGGACCTTCCGCGGCCCGGGGTAGGGTCGAATTGCCGATTTGGGGTCCCCAGGGGGGGATCATTGGAGGGGGACAGTCTCACACGCCTAGAGACCCACAACGGGTCGGCGCATTTCCTGGGGCTTCTCTCCGGGCGCCACGACCGCTGCCCTTCTTGAACTTGCGGCCCCGGCGACGCGCGCTGCCAGTGTCTTGACTCGGCAGCAGGACCCTGCGAAGCATCCGCTGCTCGGCCGCCTTTCTGCCCCTCCATTTCTGGAAGTCATCGGGGCTCCGTTAGGCAAGACCGCTCCAGGATGGGGCGAGTTGCAGCGCCGCGCCCTCGGCCCCCCTTTTTCCGGGCGTATTTCATTGAAACGTACATGCCCCTTTTGCGGTCTTGCCCCAGCCAATCTGGTCTTCCACGACTTGCGGGGGCGTCATAACTCGAATTTGTGTCGACAGCGGTTCTGAGCGACCCCGTGTATTTCGGCGATGCCCTGCGAGATCCCCAAGGGCGATCCAGTCTAGACTTCCGCGCCGGTCCCTGACCCGCTGTTCGCCGCTTCCGTTGCGCCGCCCGTCGCCGAGCCAGTGTGGTTGCGCGCCCTCGACCCTCGAAGGGCCAGCGTCCTCGTCGCCAGGGCGCGGAGACGGTTCGGGAACATTCGGCCCGCTTCCTCTCGCGATTTTGACTGGCCGGGTCGTCCCCTCGCATTCGGCGGCGCGGGCGCGCGCCGCAGCGCATGGCGCCCCCCCCCTTTGGCTCGGGATGCGCCAGAGCTGTAATTATGCGTTTTCTTTCTATCTAACGCATGCTGCACCAAGTCTTGGACATGAATCTGTAACCGACAGTCAGTACATCATCAATGTTCGGGACCAGGGCTTTGAAGCAGCCACACATTGGCGGGCAAAGCATTGTCCCCTATGGCGCGAGGTGCATCGGGTAGCTTCTACCACGTGATACATATTACTAAAGTTCGTTCGCGCAGCCGCATAGCTGCTGGTGAATATATCCGTAAGGGCTTCGCCCCCTGCCGCCGGCCCCCTCTCTCGGAGAATGGGCCATGGAAGAGCTAAGTCATGAGGCTTTGGCGCTGTCGTGTAGCAGTATCGGAACTTCATGCGAGGCCGATTCGCAATCGGCAAAACCAATTGATCACAAGAGGGGTTACCACACAGGGCGATTGGTAAGACGTGTATGGTTTACGAGCTTGGTTACCACACCTTGGGATTAAAGGGCCGAGGGAGTACTCGCAGTTTGGGTTACCACGCCTTGCGATGGATGTGCGTGAGGGGTGGCACCGAATTTCAGAAATGTGGCAAATCCCCTGTGTTTTTGGACCCTGACCCCGCGGATCTGCGTGAGGGGTGGCACCGAATTTCAGAAATGTGGCAAATCCCATGTGTTTTTGGACCCTGACCCCGCGGATCTGCGTGAGGGGTGGCACCGAATTTCAGAAATGTGGCAAATCCCCTGTGTTTTTGGACCCTGACCCCGCGGATCTGCGTGAGGGGTGGCACCGAATTTCAGAAATGTGGCAAATCCCTGTGTTTTTGGACCCTGACCCCGCGGATCTGCGTGAGGGGTGGCACCGAATTTCAGAAATGTGGCAAATCCCCTGTGTTTTTGGACCCTGACCCCGCGGATCTGCGTGAGGGGTGGCACCGAATTTCAGAAATGTGGCAAATCCCATGTGTTTTTTTTGGACCCTGACCCCGCGGATCTGCGTGAGGGGTGGCACCGAATTTCAGAAATGTGGCAAATCCCTGTGTTTTTGGACCCTGACCCCGCGGATCTGCGTGAGGGGTGGCACCGAATTTCAGAAATGTGGCAAATCCCCTGTGTTTTTGGACCCTGACCCCGCGGATCTGCGTGAGGGGTGTCGATTTCGAGCCCCCCCAGCAATTCAGACAACGCGCCCAGGGGGTGCTAAAAATCCTGTTTGGGCCTCCCCCCCCCTCGCGCGGTCAATCAACTAGTTACAGTAACCAGCAAGAAGCAGAACTGTAACACTGGAAACTACAAGCTACAACTGGTACTGGAAACTGCGAACCCGTGCCTCGCAGCCTGGTGGCCCCACAAGGGGGCCGGCGGATTATGATGGAAACCAAGAGGCCCGCCGTTTAGCGGAGCTGGGTGAAGCCCTTCATTGAAAGGATCAGGTTATGATGGTTCGTGCGAAGCGGTCCGTTGTATTAGTTACCCAAGACGCTCAGTAGATCGGTCTTTATATTGCCTGGATATGTAAGCATGTGCCAAAGGACGTGTGGCAAGGTGAGATGGAACCGCCCTCCGTTCCCTCGGTCCCCATTCCGGTCTTGTCTGGGACAATCGAAGGTGCTTTCCATCAGCGTTTTGTGGACCCTGATGCTGGCCGTTTTTGTTGCGTTAAGTGCTGGGCCAGTAGTGTCTCAAAGCAGTTATTCATGCGTTTCAAGTGTGCTAACCCGTCTGGCGGGTGACATGCCCTCCGTCGCTTGGAAGATATGATGTGTTCTGTTCGTTGTGGTCGCTACTCCAGAGCAGGCGCAGCAGACCTGATGCGTGAATGCACCGGCAGACCTCGGGCTCCTGGGACTGCGCACCGCCTGAGTCGCATGCTAGATGGGAGGCGCCCTCGGACAAACGCACCCACTGGCGAGGTTGGCTCGATCGACCGTGCCAGTGTTTTGTTTGTTTTCCCTGCCTCCAATGACGTTTTTATTTCCCAGGCTTTATTTAATCCTAAGTGGTTTTTGCCAGCCCCTGTTTTCAGCACCACACCGCCTGAGAGTTCGATGTTCTCGGAGCGTGGGCATGTGTATAACATGGCGGTGGTTTTCAGGGAGGCGGATGATCTTGCACGTGTCAGTCAGCCGTCGTCCAGCCGTGCTCCCGACGATGACTAATCCGACTAATATTGATCGTTGCGTCTGCTCGCGTCGCGCAGCCTCGCACAGAGGCACAGAGGCAACGCTTGCGCGTGTTTCTCCGACTTGTTTTGAGTGTCGCCTGCTGCCATTAGAGCGCCGGTTTCGTCGCCACCTGGGCCGCGCCGATCGCCAAGTTGTGGCAGAACTTGACACCCGAAACGTCCAGGTCGAGCGTTGCCCGTTTGTCTTGTCTTTAGATGAGGCGGATGAGGCGTATACAGATGGTGGTGGTGGTGATGCTGGCGCAAAAACAATAGCACAGCTGTTTCGCGGCATTCGGCCGCCGCAGGACTTGCGTCGCTCAAAGTAATGGACAATGCCTGCTAATGTTGTCTTGCTTGGCGGTCCCAGCTGGTTTCGGGCCTCGGTTCTTCGCTCGGTCGCTGTCCATCCGCCGTTGTGTCTTTCCTCTGGTCCTCGCTAGTTCGCCTTTTTCAGGCCTTCGCTCGGTCCCGATGCTTGGGGTCGAGCGCTCGATTCTAGCCCACGTCCAAAACAAAATGCTTGAGCGGCTGCCGTGGGAGGGCCGCCTCATCTCTGAAAGTTTGCGCAGCGCGAACGGTCCGCCCCGCGGCGAGAGGCAATGCTGGCCGCCTGGCCGGAGCTGCGCTGCCGCCACGCGAACGACACGGTGCCGCGGCGGGCCACGCTGGAGGTGCTGTCCCAGGAAGGGGCGCCTGACGTGCGGATATGGAAGACATGGATCAGAGGAGGGATGACTGCCGATACTGTTATCCCTCCTTCGTTTTCGCCTTGTTGGGCCTCCCGGGAGGCCCTCGTCGCCACGGCTGGATTCGCCTCGAAATTTTGTTCAGATCTCACTTTGAGAAGGTCTGGGGAAGAGCGGTATCGGTATGTTTGGTGTCCCCAGGCGTGTGGACATTGGTGATCTGGAGGAGGAGGGGGACGAGGAGGAGGAGGAGGAGGAGGAGCCTCCTTCGGCCATCTCTTGTGCGCCACACGCGCACGACTTCAATTGTCCTGGTTCCGCTTTCTCTCTCTCTCTCTCTTTTTCTCCTTCGTGCCTCCTGTCAGATGGGCTTCGTTCAGGCACTAATCCTGAACCCGAGTTCAAAAGCTGGTTGAGCTCATCGCCACATGCCCTTTCCCATCGGTTGCTGGAGGACCTGGTCCGCGGGGCTGCGTCGTAGGAGGAAGGGGGTCTTGGCATCCACAGCCGCGACCACTAGAAAATCACCCTGCCCGCGAACGGCCTCCCCGCATCCTCCAGCTCGGGCTGCGCGATGAGCCCACCACCACAGCCTAGCAGCAGCACCCCCATCAACCTGACGAGCCACGACAGACGGTCGGGAACGTTTGCTTAGCGTGTCACGCCGCTGGTTCATCCCCACTGCGATTCAGTGCGACACGCTAGCCACGTCCCAGTCCCCGAGTGTCAACGTCCCTACCTTTATCCAGCCTCCTGTTCCCCAGAGCGGAGCTATACGCCAGGTTACAAGGCAATGGCGTGTCGTCGGCGCCGCCGACCCGACGCACTCTGCAAAAGTTATTAACCGTACACCTTCGCCGACATCCTCAGGGCAAAATTCAAGTTCGAGGTGCGAGTCGCAATGACCATCAGCTTCATCACTGACCTCAAACACAGCATATGACATGGGCGGGAACTGAGCAACACACGAACCGTTTTCGGGAATAAGTGAAGGCACGCGTGCACTAAACGGAGAAGAAAGAAGAGGAGGAGGAAGGAGGACGAGGACGGGAGAAGGAGTTCAAGGTCAAGGTCAAGCCTGTATGCCCACAAGGGGCGGCCACGTAGGGCACAGGCGGGGAAAACATTGCAGGTTCTGCGGCTGGCGCTGCACACAGTCAGTCAAGCCTGGCGCAGAGATGGCGCATTGGCAAACTAAAAAGTTATGAACGTGACCGAAAATGCCAGGACTCGGGCAGGAAAGGAAAAGTACACTGCGGCGGAAATGCGGGCAGTTATCACGATACCAATTCACCTTGAAACATGTCGGCGCCATGCGGGAGCAGGGGGAGGGGAGGGGGCAGAGGAGGAGGGGAGGAGGAGGACGAGGGGGGAAGGAAAACAAGCTAAGATGCACTCGCATGACTCAGGAAATCTTCCTTCATGTGCTTCCATGCATTTGCGTCCCTGGCTGCCACTTTCCAGTCGCCGATCCCATACCTAAGGCAGAATGCTTTCACGTCGCATTCCCACGTTTTACGCGGTCTCCCTTGCGACTTGGAACCTTCGGGCGACCACTGGATAACGCGTGATAGCCATCTGTCGGGAGGCAGGTTTACAGCGTAACCTGCGAATCTTCTATACTGGCCAAACACCACGTCTGACCACAAAGTAACTCGAGTACCATCCATCATTGCGTATAGGCGCTCGCGCCAAAGGTGTAATATATGATGCCACGGGCTCGTCCAATTCATTCCACCTGGTGGCCCGGCAACTTGTCGAAGCAATGTTTGGCAAACCACATTCAAATTGTTCCGTTCTGATGTGTGCACCACGCATTGCGATTGGGGTAATAATTGCATGCAGGTAATTCAAACGCGCTGCTGCAGATACGTGCTTGTCTGCGAATATCCACCGGCTCGCGTAGAACGCTTTCGTGGTTGCCTGAAGATGGTATTCTTGATCCCGTTTGGTCGTATCAAATGATAATACGCAACCCAACCGTTCATGGAAAGACGCAACTCTAATATGTATGTATGTATATATATATATACACCAGATAAAAGTAAAAGTGCGTCCGGCGGCTGGGCCTCGGTCGTCAGGGCCACGGCTTTGTCGGCGATTAACCGTAAGCCAACCACAGCAAGCTCTCAAATAAGTAGTTTGAGAAGAGTTGCAGCTTCCTGTTGCGATTTGGCGAAGAACACCACGTCGTCCGCGAAGCGTAAATCCAAACGAACCCTGCAGTTTGGGATTTTTTCCGCCAGCGTGCCATAGCCCACTCCAGTAAACAGCAGAAGAGCCGGGGCTCAGGACACATCCTTGCCGAACTCCAGCTGAGATGTCGAAAGGGTCACTGTGTTTAGCATCCCCTTTCACCTGTCCCGTCTGGTTGTCATACAATGTTTGCAGGATCCAGATGAGGTGGTCTGCAATGCCGTGTTCGCGCAAAGCTAACCAAAGAGTTGACCAATCTACTCGATCGAAGACTTTCGACAAATCCAAGCTCACCGCCCAAACAGGAATGCCAACTTGTCTTGTCTTGTCCAAGAACAGGTTTGCGGTAAGGAGGTGCTCCTCAATGCGGTAATCAGCGCGGAATGCATGCTTTTCTTCTGGCTGTCGACGGTCAAGCTTGTCCTCAAGACGACCGAGCATCAGATAGGCAAACATTATGTAAAGTATCCGCACGCTGGGAATTGGCCTGAAATCAGAAACAGTTGCAAGTTTTGCCGTCTTGGGGAGCATCTGGAAGAGTGTTTGTCGCCAGGGCCAGCTCTCTGGGGGAAGGCCTTGCAGTGAGACTTGATTGTACACTGCCAACGAATGCCCCCGAAACGAAGTCGGAGAATTCTGTAGAAATTCTGCTACCGACCCAAGCTCATCGGCAGCTTTTCTCGCGTTCATCCTTCCTATCGCTGCGTCCAACTCCGCTGCAGAAAAGGTAGGTTCCGAGAGAACTCGCGGCTTCTCCGGCGAAGGCGGCGACCCGGCAAACAAGTTTCCAAGAAAATCTGCAAATGCCCCTTCTGATGGCGAGTGTGGTATTGTCTTCCCTTTGATCTTGTCTGTAAGCGATTGTTGACTTCGTGCCAATGCTTCGAACTTTTTAGAATACCCTCCAGCTGCGAAGATCTCCATGCTCTGATTTCTTGCCGTTGTAGACGGCGGATCTCAAAGCTGAGTTTCTTCAGGTCAGTCGGATCGCGGGCGTTTCGTCTTTGAGATCGCAATGATGACAAATGAGAGCTTGGCTGAAAACGGGTAACTACTCCTGCTCGCCACGCGCCCACACTTCGAGGTCGCTTCCCTCAAGGCTGTTTCAACGACTTCGAAAGTAGCGGTCCCCCCATGCTGTAGAACCCACGAGCATACATAGTCTTGGAATTCCTGCGCATTTCCAGGACAAGGAAGATAACTTTCAATGGCAAAGCGGCCACGGGCACCACCCTGAAGGCGCGGGTCCGGCGGGACGCCGCGCCGCCCGCGCGCGCGCACAGTGCGCGCGCGCGCGCGCGCGTTCTGGCACGTCCTGCTGCTGCACGGCCAAAACCAAAAGAACGCCGCCGCGCGCGGGCGAAAGGCGCCCGGGCGCGCGCGACCACTGGCCTGCAAGCCTGAGGCCTTCCTGGAGCGGGGCGCCAGGCCGCCCCGGCTGGGCAGCGCCCCGCCGGCGTCGCGCAACGCACGCCCGAGCGGGCCCCCACGGCAGTGCCTTGGCGGGGAGGCTAAACGCTCCCCAGGGCCGCGCGTCGCCGGCCCGCTGGCGCGGAATCGCGCCCGCGAACGGCGCAAGCCACGCGCGTCGCGCCGGAACGCGACACAGCACACGCAACAGATCGAGCGCGTGCGTGCGAAAGCACACGCGCGAGCTGGAGGTGCAAGCTGTCGTGCGCGCGAGTGCGCGCGCGCGTAATGAGACCGTTCAGGCGCATGGCAGCATGTTGCACCATGATCATGTTCCAGATTACGAAAGGAGCACGTGGTTTCCACCATCTGGCTTTCGTCGCGAAGGTGGCCAGCATTGCGCGCGCGAGAGCGCGCGCACGATAAGAACAGCGCGTTGTGTCATAATGCATAATGCCACGTTGTGCTCCTCAAAATAGCACTGACTAGCTCCGACCTTAATCTTGGCATTCCCCAATTATGTTTGCATCGCGCATGCGGGAGCGCGGGAGCGCAAAAAACAATAGCCTGGCGAAGAACCCATCCATATGCAGCTGTGAGTGCCGGAGTCGCGAGCATCGTCTTCGGTGGACCTTCTTATGGGGCCACAAAGGGTTTGAGGTATGCCGAAAGTGGTGGCAGGGGCCCATTTGGACGGTGGCACGGGGGGCCTTCGGTGGTGCTCCTCTCGGGGCCGCGAATAGCGTGAGGGGCGTGCATAAATTTGCGGGGGCGCATGTGGACGGTGGCGGGGGAGCCGGGGCAGAAATTTGGATGCAGAAATGGGTAGCGGGGGCGTATGTGGACGGTGGCACTGGAGCCTTCGGTGGAGCTCCCTATGGGGCCACGAAGCGCGTGAGGGGCGTGCCGAAGTGAGTGGCGGGGACGCATGCGGACGGTGCCGTGGGACCAAGGAACGCTTGAGGCTTGCGCCGAAGTGTGGCGGGGACGCATGTGGACGGTGCCGCTGGGGCCTTCGATGGAGCTCCACGTGGGGCCACGAAGCACGTGACAGGTGTGCCGACATGAATGGCGTGGACGCATGTGGATGGTGGCATTGGGGCCTTCGGTGGAGCTCCACGTGGGGCCACGAAGCGTGTGACAGTTGTACCGAAACCGACATGCGGGGACGCATGTGGACGGTGCCACTGGTGCCTTCGGTGGAGCTCCTTCTGGGGCCACGAAGTGTGTGAGGGGTGTGCCGAAATGAGTGGCGGGGACGCATGTGGACGGTGCCATTGCGGCCTTCGCTGGGGCTCCCTATGGGGCAACCAAGCGTGTGAGGGGTGTGCAGCAATGGGTGGCGGGGACGCTGGTGGACGGTGCCATTTGGGCTTTCGGTGGAAATGCTT